TGTTGCTGCTGCTGCTGCTGCTGCTGCTGCTGCTGCTGCTGCGGCTGCGCCGGCGGCAGCGCTGCTCCTTGCCTCAGGCTTCTCTCAGCTTCCTTCAGCAAGCAGCAGCAGCAGCAGCTGCTGCAGCGCACGTCGCAGCAGCAGCATTCGCTGCACCCTCTGCGATGTTGCTGCTTGTCGGGCTTGTTTTTGCTGCTCTCCGAAGCAGCAGCAGCAGCAGCAGCAGCTGCTGCTGCTGCTGCTGCTGCTGATGGGACGGTGGGGAACGTGAGGGCTTCCCAGGCCAAAACATCTGAAACAAAGAAGGGGCCCCACAGTTCTGGCACAAGCCGCCTCATTTGCTGCTGCTGCTGCTGCTGCTGCTGCTGCTGCTGCAGCTGCTTTTCGCTGCTGTCGCTGCTGCTGCGCGCGCCACTGAAAAGCCCTGCAGCTGCTGTAAATGATGGAGTCAGCGGCAGCGATGCAGGAGATGAAAATCCGCTGCTGCTGCTGCTGCTGCTGCTGCTGTCAGCCAACATTCACGCCCTTGAGAAGCGCAGCTGCTGCTGCTGTTGCTGCTGCTGCTGTGGCAGCTTTCGCTGCAGCTGTTGCGGCAGCTGTTGCTTCTGTCACTGCTGCAAATGACAAGAAGGCAAAAAAATGCTTAATCAGAATTAATAAAACAAAAAGTCGGTCTGTTCTCTCTGTTTCGCTCCAGCAGCAGGGTGGGGTCGGTGGTGCTGCTGCAGCCCGGACCAGCAGCAGCAGCACCAACATGCTGCTGCTGCTTCTCGCCATTCCCTTTTTCTCTCATTTTCAGCTCATGAAGCTCCCTTTTGCGTCCTCAGCTGCTTGCGCAAACGCCAAACCCTAAACCCTAGGCCGCACACCCCAAACCCTAAACCCTAAACCCTAAACCCTAAACCCTCATGGTCTGTCCTGCCGATCTGCTGCGCCAGGAAATCGATTGTCTGAGCCGTACATACACCCCGTTTGCTGAGTTCGCCGCAATTCGCGCTCCTGCTGAGGCGGCTCTTCCCGCTGCTGCTGCTGCTGCTGCTGCTGCTGCTGCTGCTGCTGCTGCAACGCCTGGGGATCCGCTGCGCAGCTCTTCGCTTACTGGGCAACAGCAGCAGGAGCGGCAGCAGCCAACGCAGCAGCTGCAGCTGGGGCAACAGCAGCAGCAGCAGCAGCAGCAGCAGCAGCAGCAGCTGTTTCTGTGTGCACTAGGCCACCCCTTGGGCTCTTTGCTGCTCTCCATCAGTTTGCAAATCGACGGGCTTAGAGTAGGATATCTAATCACGTCACTAAGCAGCAGCTGCTGCTGCGCTGCTGTTGCTGCTGCTGCAGCGCTGCTGTTGCTGCTGCTGCAGTGTTGCTGTTGCTGCTGCTGCAGTGCTGCTGCTGCTGCTGCTGCAGTGATGCCGCTTCTGCTGCAGCTGCGAATCCTCAATATGGCTCAGTTCTTGAAGCTAAATTTGCCGCTTTGCTGCTGCTTTCCGCTCTGTCCATCAGTTGCCTGTTGCTGCTGCTGCTGCTGCTGCTGTTGTGCTGCTGCGTCGCCTTGCTGCTGCAGCTGCTGCACCTCGACTGCCTTCCTGGCCAGTCGCCCCAAATTGCCATTAAGGCGCAGCAGCAGCAGCAGCAGCTGCTGCTGCAGCAACAGCAGGGGCTGGGCAAAGACGAAGGGGAAGAGGTGCAACAAAAGCAGCAACAGCAGCAGCAGCAGCAGCAGCAGCAGCAGCAGCGCCTGCAGCAACTGGAGGCGTGGGGTGTACGTACACCCCAGCACCCTGCTGCCATTTTTGAATCCTTCGAAGGTTTGCTGCAGGCTGTTTGCCCCAAAGTGTTTCAGCGCATGCAGCAGGAGCTGCTGCGGCAGCAGCTGCAGCAGCAGCAGGGACAGGACTAGCGCAGCAGCAGCAATTGCTGCTGCTGGTGCTGCTGCAGCGCAGCAGCTTTTCCGCTTCCCGAGCCCTCAGCGTCAGAGCAGCAGCAGCAGCAGCAGCAGCAGCAACAGCAACAATCGCTCCAGCTGCAGCAAGCCCACCCCCACGCGGTGGCCACCTCCACAGCAGCAGCAGCAACAACAGCAACACCAGCAGCAGCAACAGCAGCAACAGCAGCAGCAGCTGCTGCTGCTGCTGCATCTACACTAACAGCAGCAGCATCAGCCCCAGCAGCAGCAACGCCAACAGCAGCACCAGCAGAACCACCAGCACCAACAGCAGCGCCAGCAGCGCCAGCAGCACCAGCAGCAGCACCAACAGCAGCAGCAGCAGCAGCGGCAGCAGCAGCAGCAGCAGCAGCAGCAGCAGCAGCAGCAGCAGCATGAGCAGCCTGGGGCGGGTGGATGTGCTGCACTCTTCTTTTCCGGGGCGGCGGTGGGCGGAGCTGCGGCTGGACTTGGACGCCCCCATTAGCGAAGTCAAAGACAAACTCTACAAACACACCGGTGCTGCTGCTGCTGCTGCTGCTGCTGCTGCTGCTGCTGCTGCTGCTGCTGCTGCTGCTGCTGCTC